GTCCTGCGTTATCACCAGCTTCGAGACAGTTGTCACGGGACCCTAACCGGAGACATGATTGGCCTCAAACACGCATAGCACCTACTCTGCTGTCACTACCGAGTGAACAGGACAGCTCCATGAAGGCCCCCCAGCTTTTGGACTTCGTTCTAAAGCTGCACTTCCCAGAAGTGACCCAAAACGAGGCATGTTTGAAGATATCATATTTTACGCCTTTTAGCCCACATTCTAATTCAAAATGAAAAATTAATGGCGAATACTTTTTCTTTGCGCAGGATGTCCACAAACAAATATTGCGTGGTTTAAGAAATTTGTGCCGTAATACGTTTTTCATCCCTGAGTTCAGTCTATGTCACTGCCATCAATTACAATCTCTGAGCACCATGATGACTCATGGTGGGGATGTGTGCTCCAAGAAGCTCTAATGAGTTTAATGTCTCATAATTTAAAAAAAAAGAAGAAAAATTAGCCACAGCGCTTGCTGATTTGTTGAATTCGCAGAACAGAAAGGTAATAGAACGCACCTAGGGTAGCGCGTGCCTAATGATATTAATTTTTTTTTCGGCTGTTATTTTTGAATATTTTGCCGTTCTCGACATGGGCGTTGACGGACATTGCACCGCTGCTTACGCCCCTGCCGGGGTAAGCTTTTTTGTTGTCACGACACTCTATCGCGCTATAGGCGCGTCGATTTAACGCTCATGAAGTCTCGAGAGGACTGTGAATTGTTTAGTCAGAGCAACGACGCAGCAATCGCGAAATGAGAGACGACTGCGTGGGACTCTCGGGCGTGGGACTCTCGAGCAGCGTTAACTTGCTGATGATGCAGGGCGCTGCTTTGTCGTTCAGATTCTTTGTCCTGCGAACGCCGGCGAAAACGTTCCAGTGCTCGGCGTACCCTAGGCAGCAGCGCTTGTCAGCGACCGCCCGCGCAGCATCGCAACCTTTCTGGAGCCTACTGGCAGTCTGCGAGCGCCGACGACTGCGAGCGCCGACGATTTATCGTTGCGACTTGAATGGAAGCATTTTATGAACTCCTGCGGTGAACATGAAACACCGCGAACATGAACTCCCGCGAACATAATCCCCGCGACGGCGAACCGCCGGCGCTCGCAGACGGAGGGTTCCGATGCTGTGCGAACGGTTGTTCGGTTGTTGGAGGACGCTGCGTAGGGTATACGCCGGGCACTGGAACGGCTTCGAAGCCATTCGAAGGGCAAAGGATTCGCGACGACCAAGTAGTGTCTTGCATCTTCAGTAAGCTAACGGGGCTCGAGAGTCCCAAGCTTACATTTCCACAGAGCGACCGCGGGCCGGCCAGATCGAGGCGCAGTCAGCACTCGCGTCGCGATTGCTACGTTGTTGCTCTGCCTACACCGATGACATGTGCACCGGCATTCAAAACCGCCCTCTCGAGACTTTATACGAGTCCAATAGACGGCTTTATAGCGCGATAAACCGTCGTGACAAGAGTAAAGCTCACCTCTGTAGTGGCGTAAGCAGCGTTCTTGACGCCGCGTCGAGAACGACGAAATATACACAAAAAAAAAACATTAAATATATTTAACACAGCAGGCAGAAAGAAATACAAACATGGCAGGGACACGGACAACGTAGAAGGCGCGCTACGAAATACATATACTTACAAAATACACTGGAAACGACAAATAATTATAGCTAAAAAACGGCCCAGGCAGCACACCAATGTGGGACCTACATTGGCTCATCATTGGCGAAACCTGGCGCAAATCTTGGTCCGACGTTGGTTTTTTTCGAAAGCGCTACCCGATCCAATGTTGGACCATCGTTCTGTGCCAAGATGGGCCATGATTTAGCCAACGGCATAGCCAACATGGCCCACTATTGGCTGACCGTTTTTCAACCATTATTGGCATCCAACCTTTACCACCGGCTCATCCAATATTGGCTTCCATTCATATACATTGGCTAACCCAATATTGGCAGCCAATCATACACATTGGCTATTCCAATGCTGGCAGCCGTTCTCGTAAAACCTCCAGATTTTTTTTAACATATCGCGCGAACGTCGACCGGCCGGTAGATCAGCGCTTTATCGCATCGTAAAACAGCAAGTCAGCGAGGCTAGGAGAGCCTTCTGTGACATGCGCCTAGTCTCGTTGACCTATACTCATTCGCGCAGCAATAAGGCGGCGATCTACCAGCTGGTCGGCGTTCGCGCGATGTTGTTAAAAGATCTGGAGGCTGTACATTGGCTGTTCCAGATCAGCCACCCATTGTTGTCCATAGACTATTCAAATATTGACTGCAATTGTTTAGCCAGCCATTCAGTAACACAGAGCACTTATCCAAAAGAAAGCCTACAGAGAAAACTAAGTACTTTGTCCCGTGCAATTTTATATGGCATGCAAATATGAACAGTTCAGAACCTTCAGAAAATTGTAGACTTTATTGACCACACTAGCATCTGCTTGGGTGGGCTTGGCAGGGGTCCAGGCAGCAATCTTAGTGTGCAGGCTCAGGAATGAACTGAGGAGGGGTCTGGACCAGGGGCAGGGGCTGGACCAGAGGCGGGTCAGAGACAAGGGCTGCCTCAAATCTCCTTCTCCTGCCCCCTCCTCGATTCACTGAGCCGGGCAGCCACCTCCCGATAATCGCCTGGGCTTGAACCCTGTCCACGGAACATTTTTGACAGATGGCTTCTGCAAAGTGGTTCCACGAGTTTAAAAATTCAAATTAAAAAATACTTTCTTTTTACCAGAGCACATTGACCGTGACTATAGTCACCGACAGGACGAAACCGGCAAGAAAGCGCATCTGTAGGTCCCGCTGTTTGCTTGACAATTGGCTTCCAGCCTTTTTCTCACTCTGCACGGGGCACTGCTTGGTCTCATACAAGTTCTAATGAAACTTACAATAAGAAACTCAAAAAGTGTCATAAAGGTAAAACAGTTCAAAATATGAGAATACAGCACTCATGTGGTTGTCAAATACGATGCTTGCAGCACATTTTAATACCGTTGCCTTATCTCAAGGAAAACGTGTAGCGAACGTAAACGAAGTCTAAGTGTAGTCTGCTGGTCAGCTACAAGTGAAAAGTTCCAAAACTCGTTTCTGTCCTTCTGATGGATTACCTCAGACTGGGGCAAGAGACCAAGAAACATCCTTCCATGGAAGAGATTAAAAAAGGAGACAAAAGGACTTTGCTCCATCACCGTTTTCAATCTGCCACGGTTATTTTTTTCCATTAACTATAAAACAAAATGACAGGTGACAGGAGGACTTTCCTCCTGTCACCTTTTTCACTTTTTTCCACAGTTGGATGTTTCTAGGTTTCCTGCCTCGGTCTTGGGTAATTCATCAAAATGGTAATGTATACACCAGCTCGCCTGCACCCTCACTGTAATTTAACATTTGTCCTTTCTGTGTTTGTATTGTTTACAGGTCATAAAAATGAACAGATATTAATATGTACAGGGTACAATTTTAAGCAACATATGTCCTAATCCTACCGGCATGGGGCTTGTACTATCGTGGACAATATGAGCTGAAACAGCGCTCCGGCCTGTGCACGGTACCTGCGGCGGCTGTCGCATCGCTCCCCAAACACGGCGCACCCTGAGGCCGAGATAAATTCTCACTTTGCGCTCACTGCGCCACTGCGCTCTTCCGGCCGTCCGCTAGACCAATGTTCCCGTTTTCAGCTAACATGCATCTCAGTGCATTTCAAGAAAGCGCCGAAGTGGAAAATGCGCTGTCACGCTCGTATCTCCTCGAGGAGCGCTGCCTGACGAAGCCGCCTTGGCCCCTAAAAGGAGCCGATCTGAATACCATCGAACACGTTTGGAGGCGCATCAAGGTAGCCATGTCACGGCGTCCCCTCCACCGCGCCACTGCCCACAAATTGTGGAAATCAATAGGAGGTGAATGGGAGTGGGCTTCAGGGCTGAGCCAGACTTCTTGGCCGCGCTCTATGATTTCTTACCAGACAGGATGAGAGCCGTGGTCGCGGTTCAGGGGAGAATGACGCGGTATTAAATTATTTTGAAAGTTTTGCTGCGCGTCAGGACCCCCTGAACTGGACTTCTGCCGATTGGAAGGAAGCTTGATGCTACGGTTGCGACACACTGTTTGACGCCGTTAACCACGCATACTTTGAGGGGTGCCTCCGTCATCCCGATCTTCTTGTATAGTGCAGTTGAACTTCCACGCCGGCTATTAATCTTTTGTGTCTGACAATGTCCTCTGCAAATATTCTTTCGATTAAGTTTCAATCTCCTTCTCTTGACAAATATATGACTGTTTGTCCCATCTTATTAAGACTAGGAATTTGTAAACAAAAAACTGGTGTCCTGTCAGCAACTTGTTTTTCTTGAAACAAACACGTGTGCTCAGTAATAAAGAAATAATATTTTTGAACCTGTTCATACTAATCAAGGTTACAAAATCTTCTCAGTAACATGTATGCTTACCGTTTTTTGAACATCTGTGATCAGCGAAACAGGAAAAAAAACAAACATTGGAGCCGGACTAAATTCGGCAAACATATTTAGGCCTATATTTTACAATGTCTCACTTTGTGCATGCACCTATAATCAAACAAAAACAACCTGCAACGCATTTTGATACGACTTTCAAAAACGGTAATCGCAGTTGAAATTTAAGACACTTCAATATTTTTTCTTCAACAGTCAGCGTTTTTTCTACGAGATTTTGCGCGGTAGAGTAAAGTAAATCAATACCAAAAGGGGAACGACAAGAGTAATCTTTTGTTCCCCTCGCCGCCCTACCACACATGCCCGCTGTCGCACCCACAGTCTCGCTTGCAGACAGCCGGAAAAGCGCAGTGGCGCAGCGAGCGCAGTGATAAAATATCTCGGACTCAGGGTGCGCCATGTGTGCGGAGCAAGGCGACAGGCGGCGCAGGTAGTACCGTTCGCCGGCCGGAGTGCTGTTTCAGCTCATATTGTCCGCGATAGTACAATCGAAATAGGGTGTGGTCAAGCTTGTTGAGTGCAGCATCACGCTCGATGAGCAGTGGTGCATATATCAGGCCATGCTTTGTCAGTGACTATGGGGTTACATAATGAAGTTTGTAGGGCAGCCAGGAATTTCAATAATTGAATATTACCTATTGCAATGGTGCACAGGCCCAAATTGATAAAGGCCCTCTTGCCCTTGCGGCCGTAGAGGCTGAAGAGCACCTGGACCGGATGACCCATGATGCTCTTCATGATGCCAGCAGTTACCTCTGGAAGGTTCCTGCCCCCAACCTTCTGCAGCTGATCTTGCTGTAAAACAAAACAATGACTATAAAACCACAAATTATGTATAGAAGTGCCATGTTGTAATAAAAACTAATTGAAAATTGCTCTCTAGTACCACCTGCATTGTTTCATTCAACACCTGCAACAAAGATGCAAACACTCCCAAAACCGGAACAATTTAGTCACAGGTGCTGGCAGCGTGAAAGTGCTTCAAGGAGCTTCTTTAATTTCATTAGTAACTAAAATCCATATTCCATAAATGCTAGTTTTATATTTATATTGTGTTACTCAGCCACGACTGAAATTCGGCAGTTTCTTAAAGACGGTTTCAAAGGTTCATTCAAATACTATGCTAGGTGTTTCTGCTAATATGCTTAAAAATCCCCATGAATAGGGTGATTGAGAAAAAAAAAACTGGGTAACAAACCGCCGGCGGACGTCAAGGATTATAAAAAAACACACGAATAAAACAATAATAAACCTTTATTAAAAATAAACATATGGTTCCAATTGGAAACTTGCTGAGCGTGTGAAGCATGTGGGGTGCACTAAAGTTACCACTCGCGCAGCAGGCGGACGGCTGGCAATGAGAAAACACATGATTCTCTTTTATCATCTGTGATGCATGATGGTGCAACATGCGTGCACTGCCATGCATCGCACGTAGAGGTGCGTGTTCAGATGGGCACTGACATCAACAAGGAAAGCCTCAAGTGGAGGTCCGGAAGCTCTATCTAGACCAGGGGTGGCCAGGCTGACCCGGCCTAACCGCTGAATTCACAAACCTCCCTCCAATTGAGGCACCCCTCCAATTCCTCAAAAAAGACGCGAGGGCCGGTGCGGGCCAATCGCGACGACGGATTGGTGGCCTAGGCTCCTTGCGATTGGCCAGCGCCGGCCCTCGCGCCTTCCTAGAGGAAGTAGAGGGGCACCGCAATTGGAGTGAGGTTTGCAAATTCGGCGGAAAGAGCCGTAAACAAAACCACGAAACTACCAAGAACCGTGTGGGGGTTGGGGTGGGGGGCCTTGTACAGAACAATAAACAAAACTCCCAACAACTTTCAATCTATCAGGGACAAAAGCAACTCAATTCTACTTAAGGTAGTAGTAGCACAAGACTACCAAATTGCAACCTGTCTTTCAATTTAAAATGCGTCCCATTTCTCTTTTTGGGGAAGTGCTCGTGTGACCAGGAGGGAGGGGGTCACGAGCCGCACGCTGCTTGCGAGCCGCAGCTTGGCCACCCCTGATCTAGACTCTCCTACATGCGATGCGAGGCGGCACCATGCATGTTGTACATTTTGGTCACGGGGAGGAAGATTGCATTCCGATAAAAGTGAAACAGGGAAATGCATTTAAATTTCTCTTTTTTAATGCTAAAAATGCTGCACGAGCCGCATATTACTGTGTGAGTGGATTTAGTAGTTTACAATAATTTACCCCTAATCTCAAATATGTTTGGAACTGAGGAGTTACCCATTAACTCCTTTGATAGAAAGGACTTCTGCATAAATGTTCAAACAACGCTAATTAAGTGTTCCACGTGAAATGTGCCTAAAGATACATCAGATGTGTAGCTTTGAAACAACCTTCAGCTCAACGAGAACGTACCTGTACTTATCCTCCAAACCATTCACGTGTGCGCAACATAGGCGTCCTTAATTCCAAGCATACATGCCTATTCCTTTCAGTACATTACCACAAAAAGTTGTTTAGGTATATAGCTTGCTCGCATTAAAAAGGTTAAGAAACAACAGTTTTCCCGTTACGAAGTTGGCTCCTAGCAGCTTCCAGCTTCACACTCCTGCTGTGAAAAAATACCACACGAGTGCTGCATCGACATTTGGCTGGAATTGTAGTCCTCAACACACCAAAATCTATAGATTGATTTGTCTTGTAGCATCCATTCAGTACGTCGCAAGATGAAACGGAGTATAGCATCAATCCATCTATCGTCCACGTGGGAGTGTGTGCCGGAGGCAAATGGGAAGAGAACAAGCACATGCCTCGAATAAAATGGGGTTAAGAAATAGTAGGGACAACACTGGGGTGTGTGACGGCTAGACACACATACCGCACATTCCTCTGCAGCTGGAGCACTAACTTTGGCAGGGCATTCTTTCAGAAAGGCTTTGTATGACGATGTTCATGCCATGAAGTTGTAAAATGTGTACTAAGCTCGTCTGTGCAACATCACCATGCAGTGACACACATAATACATTCTCTGTTACCACTGCCTTTTCCACGACAGTGTAGCATTAGAAAAGAATAAATAAGGACACACTGATATGGGCAACCTAAAATATAAAAGGCAATAACTACCAAGGCTTTGGCTACACCCTTCTCCTTGACTGCTGCCTCTGCTGCCTCCAACTCCTGAAGGCTTTCGGCTGGCAGCCTTGGGAGAATCAGGGGCAGGACCTGTGGGGCTCGTGCTGCCTGAGCTGCCGGTGCCTCCAGCAAGGCCACCCTTTCAGAGATGTCTAGGACATCCTGCCTCAGCTGTGAAAACTGATGCAGGATGTCCCTATTCTGTTGTCGAATTTCGACCAAAAGGTGAATCATTTTCAGCTGGACACCTGGAACAGAATACTTTCATGTCAAGCTCTTTGCACATTTTCATTCAGACTTCTCTTGAACCTGTCAGCATACAGCTGGTAACCTACATTTACAGGTCCTATATTTGTTTAGTGAAGATAGTTAAAAACAATATAAAAGTAATGACATGAGAGACTTCAATGTATAGCAAGCTGCCCTAAATCAGCTTCCTAATCAATCCACTACTTGTCCCACTCCAGACCTTGGCTAAGCGACTATTTTAACTGACAGGATAAGAATGGCATCTTTTTCAGATGCCCGGCCTCCAGCAAGTGTTCGCTACCTTCAGGTGTGCTTTGGCTATGCGTGCACGCTCAAGACTCACGAGACGTCAAAGCATTATCGAAAGTAGGAAGCTTGCATTAGATTTGGGACATTTGAAGAGCCTTCCTCCTGCTCTAATACTGTCAGCAACTATAGATGAATGTTTTCATTTATTATGGGTGCTTCTATTGAAACTTCTTTTCAGCAGACTTTTTCCCATGCAGCAATTTGTGACCCTAAGAAATTCATGTGTCCAAAATAAAGGACAACAGAGACCCAACTTCGTGATATGCAACAAAATGTTCATGAGACATGGTATTTGCATTGGATATCTATGAAAATGCTGCTCATCTCCGTTACTGGAACCACATTGTTTTTTTCTCACACTCGAAGGGGATAACAGAGCCATTATGGCACAGTAGTTTTATCACAGCAATTACCGTGAAGCTGACTGTGGCATGGAGCACACATTTTGCGGCTGCCAAACATGTTTTCGTACTGGTTGTTTACAAAAGATCTGCAGCCACTGAAGAAGAAAATTTAAGTTAGTGATAACACAAAAGGTGCATTGGACAATATGCATGCACTTAGAGGGGTCGGGAATATTTTTGCTTCTTCAGAATTCTGAGCTATATGTTTGTCATCTATATATCCCACATTCATTTAGTAGCACAGAAAAGATTATTTCAGTTTCCCGGCCCGCAGTTCTATAAGTACCGCATGGTAGGTAACCAATAGAACCTCTTTGTTGCCTGCGCAAGATGTCGATGCAGATCAAACGAGATGGGCAAAGCCAGAGAGTCAGATATCGCTCCAACAGCGGCTCTAACACAACTCTAACACAAGTCAACAGATGAAATCTGACGTCTGATATTATGCCAAGGTAATTGTAAGATCGCTGACCTCACAGAGCTCTAGCGTCGCCTATTACACCGCGATAAACTAATTGCAAGCTGTGAACATGTTTTCGCTTTAACCAGACAAATCGCTGATCCGCTAGCAGAACAAGGACACAAATGCTGCAAATAGAAGCGAAATTAATCGCCTTAGCGTACTAGAGGATCAGCATGTCAAGTTACTGCTGAGGAAGATTGTGGTCAAAAATAAATAATTGAAAACTCATGACTATAAAGCTAGTCACGGGGAAAGTATAACATCCAACTTAAGACTACACAACAAAAATAAATGGTCCAAAACTGATGTGCTAATAGCCAAGAGGCTGTGCGCGGATGTCCCTCAGTGATGATGATTTTGTGAAGTCCTAGATTTAAATCTTGTTGGGAATATAATTTTTTTTTATTGCTTCACTTTTATGTTTTCGTAAAATTTTGTTTCATGATAAGGTTCCACAACCTCATCTCGCAATGAATGCGAGCTGTGGCGGGACACGCAGCACGGCTGCAATGGTTACAAAACGACAGGAGGTATACACCAACTCAACTCTCCTACGTCACGCCGCGGTGGTGGCGCGCCGGACGCACTTCCGGTCTGTGGCGGTGGGCAGAAGTCGCCGTGCCAGACATGCATTCCTGTGTTCCCTTGGAAGAAACGAGACAAAAAACCTGCCTTCTCGTCAAAATGCTGCGACGGGGGTTGTACCAAGAGAGTCTGGAAATGTTTGAAGATCAGTTTTCATGCGTTTTTGCCCCCTCCGTTCGTCCGAGAGCGTGGATAGTAGCCGTGAAAAGGGCAAACCAGACGCTGTCAAACTACGATTGGGTGCGGGGGCAACACTTTGTGGTCGCCAGATGTATTTGCTTTGTTCCAACATAAACGAGAGAAAACCGCCAAGTTGTCCGAACCACCCACGGGTTCAGTGCGTCTTCAAATTCACACGGCCGCCTGATCGTTCGAACTTTCGTCTGCTCTTTCAAACGTCTGCTTTTTGTCGTCTGCTCGTTCAAACAAAAGCGGCCCGTAGACCAAACTTTGACCCGGTGATTACAATAAGAAGTAATTGCAGACCTCAAAAGACTTAAGTAGGCTCGGTGTAAAAAGTAGATACAAGATGTTGATCATTGGTACCGGTGGTCATCACCGACTTGTTACGCTTGGTCTGTTCCCGCTTCCGATTTTCAGTATCGACGTCGATCATCGCCGCTACCTTCTACACTTTTGCAACACGAGCGACGTCGCTACCGAAAATAGCTGGAAGAATCTCATCATGGTTTTAGCGTCCATTCTGCGGCGTTCATGCGAATGAATCGCCGCACGTCAAATTATTTACGGAAAGTTTAGCGCCGTAACGAGCCTTGATAATTTCGCTTAAGCAATTAAGGTGGTAAGACATTGCGATGAGGACGTAGAATCGACAATTCCAATGCGAAAAAGAGCAGGCAGACTCACAGAGACGCCGACAACGTGACATTCCAGTGGTTTGTTGACGCGGGACGCGGTGCTTCTTGCCCGTGCCCCATTACGCATGCGTTGGAACTGTCGTCTGCTCTTTCAAACTTGGCTGCTTTTTGTCGTCAGCTCGTTAAAACGACAGCGGCCCGGAAACCAAACGTTGACCCGGTAATTGCGATAAGAACTAAGTGCAGGCCTCAAAACACTTTTGAAGGTTGGTTGGGGTAAGTAGGCTAAGTGTTAACAGATACAAGAAGATGTTTATCACTATTGTTACGAGTGGCCATCACCGACTTGTAATGCCCGATTCTACTTGCGGTTTTCAGTATCGACGTCCACCATCTCAGCTACGGTCCACGCTTTTGCAGTCCGAGCAACGTCGCATCTGAAAACAGCGAGCAGAATCTCATCGTGGGAGTCAGGCTTTAGCGCCCATTCTGCGGCGTTCACGTGAAATGAATCGGCGCACGTCACATTATTCACGCAAAGTTTTGCCTCGTTAGTTTTGCTGAAGCCGCCCAAATAGTCAGACATTGTTAGGAGGACGTAGCATCAACAATTCCATTGCGAAAAAGAGCACGGGGACTCCCACTGACGCCGACAACAACGCAATTCAATGGTTTGTTTATGGGCGACGGCGGGCTTCTTGCCCACCATCCACCGCGCATGCGCGGCGCCGGTGGCGTCCGCTAGGGGCGCTCCGGTTTGTTTGTAAACATGAGTTGGTGTATATTCCAATCCCGTGATGTAGTAGTGTACAACAAACATGAATACCGATAAATAACTCAATATTTTTATCTCTCAACTTATTATTTGAAAATAAATAAAGCTAAACATTGTTTCAACTTTTTTGCATAGCTACCGTGACGCTCTGTTGCTCATGCTGCTTAGGGTGTCGCGTGATCGTATGACACAGTCCTAAGAACACTATTTATAAAATGCAGAAGCAATATGTTCATGATAGGGAAAACAGCTCACAAAACACGGACTACGAAGAGGAACAGACACGACAGGACAATGCTGTACTCGCAACTGAAGAATTTTAATAAAGGAAACAAAGACAGAAAAAAAACACACAGTATCTTAAAAGATTGCACAAAAACAAAAAAAAAACAGTCTCGCCAACCGTGAAGCGTGTCAATAAACTACCCGTTCACTACGTGACTCATTTTTTGCCGCAGGAAGGAAATCTCTTTGGCTCAGAGCGCCAATGACGGTTCGCTAACACATGAATGACCATGACACAAAATGTGGAAGGCCTCAATGATCTCTCTCGCCACCCTATCCTTGTGCGCGCCCAGAACGGTGACTCCGCCAAAGTCAGGCCGACACTTTCACGATGCAATGAATGGGCAAAGGCCCCCCAGCCGTAGCTCTGAGCGAATATGAATGCTTTCGTAATTTATCATTCAGACATCTTCCTGTTTGCCCCACATAGCACCTGTTACATGACAAAGGTATCTTATATACCACACACGAAACACTAGGCACGTAGCTGGGGGGGGGGGGGGGCATGGAGCCCGCCCCCCCCCCCCCCCCCCCCCCCCCCCCGAAATCTTCCATTTTGCTGGGACCTCCTCTCCCCCCCTCCCCCTCATACAGCATCTTGTCATGGGCAAAAACAAAATCCTGGCTACGTGCCTGTGAAACACGTACAAGTGACAAAAGGTTTTCTGTGCGCCTTGGTGCTCTTAAGAAAGCTAAGGGGGTAGAGAGGACGGGGCCGGAAAGGGAAAAGAAGCGTGTGGTAGTGTTTTCGGCGCCCCAAAAAATGGGCCAGATATGTTCCAGGATTGGTGCGGGGGTAGTTGGTCGTTCCAGCGCGAAGTGCGCCAAGGCGCATGTGCACAGAAAACCTTTTGTCACTTGTGTTTCGTGTGTGGTATATAAGATACCTTTGTCATGTAACAGGTGCTACGTGGGGCAAACAGGAAGATGTCTGAATGACAGATTACGAGAGCATTCATATTCGCTCGGAGCTACGGCTGGGGGGCCTTTGCCCATTCATTGCAGAGTGCAAGTGTCTGCCTGACTTTGGCAGAGTCACCGTTCTGGGCGCGCACAAGGATAGGGCGACGAGAGAGAATATTGAGGCCTTCCATATTTTGTGTCATGTTCATTCATGTTTTAGCAAACCGTCATTGGCGCTATGAGCCAAAAGATTTCCTTCCTGCGGCAAAAAATGGGTCACGTAGTGAACGGGTAGTTTATTGACACGCTTCATGGTTGGCGAGAGTGGTCTTTTGGTTTTGTGAAATCTCTTAAGATGATGTGTATGTTTTTTTTCTGTCTTTGTTTCCTTTATTAAAATTCTTCAGTTGCGAGTACAGCATTGTCCTGTCGTGTCTGTTCCTCTTCATAGTCCGTGTTTTCTGAGTCGTTTTCCCTATCACGTATAACGTCAACCAACTAGCCCAGTTCACCACCTTATTACAACATTTTCCCTTCAATGCTTGAGAATAAATTCCTTTGTTGTTTAAAGGACACATGCAAAGGAAAATAAATTTGTTTTTAAACAGCATAGATTGAAAAAGTGTCAGAAAACAAATTTACAACGAAGAAAAAAAGTTCTATAGCTATATTTTCGGTGCGAAACTAATTTGTAGAGTGCACTCGCGGGAGCCGCCGCTGGTCACTAGTAGACCTGTGTGCTGCCGCTGCACATCGAGTGTGCTGCACCACCAGTTGAATGAGTGTCTCCGCGCCACCGCCAGAAGGGAAGACTTCGGCGTGCCGCCGCCATCGATTTCTGATTACAGCACAGTATTACGTGGTGCTTGACTCTTTCAGGAGCTTCCTTTGAGCTCTATAAGTTCTTATTAATCTTTTTTTTTGTTGTTGCACTTCAAACGAAGATGAATAAGTGACTTCTAGAGACAATAGGAAGATTCCGAAAGAGCACAAGCACCATGTGATAAATAGCGGCCAATCACATGATAAATAGCGACGACTTTTCCACGGGCGCCAAATACAAATTCGTTTCGCTTCGTAAATATAGCTCTAAAACGCTTTTTTGTTCATTGTAAATTTGTTTTACAACTTTTCCCATCCAAGCTAAAAAAAAAAATTCCCTTTGCTTTTGTTGCATGTGTACTTTCATGAATATAAGAAAATTTAACTGGCAGATACATCTTTTTTTTTTACCCCATTAATATTTTGAGCCCTTCAGCAATGTCCAAGTACTTCAACAAAAACTAGTAAATTCCAATTTCCCAGAAATTCCCGAAAGATGATACCAATATTTTTTTTTCACATTGTTGAAAATTTTTTTTCTAAAGGTCAAGTTCAAGCTTTTTTATGTAACAACAAAACAAAGCTATCTTCTAGTTACACCTTATCCTAATCTGTTTCAGGACACCATTCACAACGGCATAAATACACACACTAGCAAACGGGTGCAACTTTTAAGTTCAGCTCTGAATATTAAAAAGTATAAACTTATAAATTCTTACGACTGGGATCCTCACTGGCTTCCTGGTTGTCCTGGGGCTGGTTCACTTGCTGCGCTTGCAGGGTCTCTGCCAGGTCATCCTCGTAACCTATGGCTGACGAATGGGAACTTGATGCAGCTGAATAGCATTAAGACAGTCTTACTACGGCTCTGTTGATGCAATCTTCAAGTTGTTCAACTCTGAATTTTTAAAATTACAAGCAGACTCACAGGTGACCCCTCATTTTCCTCCTGGCTGTGCTGAGGTTGCAGCTGAGGTTGGCGCTTGCCTGCCTGGCTGGTCTTGTGCTGACCCCCCACCAACGAGCGGGAGCTCAATGCAGCTGAATAGCATAAAGACAGTGTCCACACCAAGCAAACATGGTTAGGCACTACAATGGTTTATCAGCACACCAATTATATTGTTTGCATAAGTGATTTATAATTTACTTAATAAAATTTTATTGAGGTGGATGGCTAGCAAAGCTGCCTAGTTTGAACCATGCAGAGTGCCTCAACCTAAGAAATATTAATAGTAACATTATATTTTTAGAGAGGTACCCTAATATCTATCATAAAGATATCCTGAGAGAACTACATTTCATAGGTCATTGAGACTGAAAGTAACTAACAGTTTTCACCTCTCAAATACCCAGCACCTCCAATGAGCTTCTGAATGGCAGAGAGCCATTCAGAAGCTCATTACTTGCCACAAGCCACGTAAATGCCCAAAGCATGTTGTTCACTGAAGAAGTGTGAATAATACTGTAGACAGCTTATCATATAAATACAGATAATGGTTACTATAACTGAATGCTTACGTGGTGAAGGCATTCTGAGGGGGGGATGCGATACGACTGCTTCCACTCCCGGCAAGGCCTCATTTGCTAGGAAAAAAAAAACAATGTATCAGAACATCGGAACATCCCATTATTTTGCCCCAAGGTAATTTCACAAAGCCTTGGAACTCAGTAATCACCCGAAAAATCTGATGTCTCTACGGTGGAGGTCCAGACGTACTGGCGAACTTTCTTGGCAGCCTTTTTGTAGGTCCCTGTAAATAAAATTTGTGTTTGAAGTATGGAGACTGAAATTGAAGAATTTCAGCTGAATATAGTTCTGCAAAACACATTTCAGCGGAAAAAAATAACTGAGTTGATAAACAAACTACGTTGACTTTACATAACAGATTCGGATAGCAAATTCTGTCACGCGTGTGTGAAACGTTCCAGCATCACAAACGTTTAGCAATACACTCACGGTGCTCTTTATCAGATATTTTTATGCATACTCTGTGTACTCTTGATAGTTAATTGTTTTAATTGTTCAAGTTTCAGATATGCATGACAGAATTCGTTATCCAAATTTGTCTATTGGGAGCAACTACACCTCGTGACTGCACCGATATGCAATCGGTGCTACACAATGTTAAAGTCCTACTAAATTTAGCGGGGAAGCTGAATTGGTGTATACATTACATGACAATTTTTTTTTCTTTTTGCTAGAGAAAAATGGATTTGTGTATGTGCTGAGAAGGTGAGGGAGAGGAGGAGGCGAGAGCGTGAGGGGACGTCAAAACGCCGAGCTTTAATTCGAAGGATTAGTGTGTAGAAACAAAGCTAGATACCTGTGTCTCCACTGCACTCGTCAGTGTAGTTTGTTTTATCATAACGAGTACTGGCTTCTGGACCATTCTCGCAATATGCCGTAGCTTGAAACAGTTATTCAGGAGCCAATGAAGTTTTGTCTGCAAGCATTCACATCTTTCTAGCAGAGAATAAAATATAGTTGCAGCTTTCAAACCTAGTAGCTGCAGATAACGGGATATTTTCTCAAATTAGCTACCAAGCGAAATTGTTTCATACAACTCTGCCTGCACATCAGTACAGGTTATAAAGAAAAATACAAACTGAGTATGTGATATAAATAACATAGGAATCAGGCAAACTGATGACCTTTAAACATAAAAACCCAAATCTGGAGAAAAAAAATAATAGGAGGACACATATGTTTTCTCTTTTGGTTTCGACGGTATTGAGTACCCGAGCTTGACCAAGAACTTTCAAAACTTTACACCTTAGAAATGCCTAAAAAATGTTTAAAATCACTTTAAAACTTACTAAAAAGTATTTTAGGTCCCATTGACAGTATCATGTGCTTGATGTTTAGATTCTCTTCTGGAAAAATAATGACCCACAATCACACACCTCAAAAAAAAAGGAAAAGGCAATGGGTCTGTAAACAAATTACTTACAGTAGGTCTTAATTACAATGACAGGGAAGACCTCCCAGCCTTTCCCGACAACGCCAGGTGGAGCCTGCGCCTCAACCAGGCTTATGAGTTGGCACCCTTTCACGTGCATGGGCCAAGTGCAAAACAATTCGTCCTCCGACAGCCATCCGACTGGCACAGCTGCGAGACTGTCCTTCTCTTCAGGGAACTTCACTACTGCGAAGGGCTTGACCATCCTGTATGCAGAAGCAGCAGTTTGAAAGGGGTCAATGTTTGCTAGCTCACACATCCTATGATAATGGTACTGGAATCCAGAATAGCAAAACACCCCAAATTCTGGAAAGCTTCCTTCGAAGATCAGGGCATTACAAATACTGATGTCCTAAACTTATGGTGTTTTAACCTTTTCTTTCTGCAGAGCAGATAAGAAATTCTGGACGCAAGTAAATACCTATCTGAACAAGTTATCTTCATTATTTGCTTGTATTTAAACTTGCGACAAAGCAGCTAACCATACACAACACCTGCTGTTAATTGTGACTTTGCCAACACCAGTGGTGGTCGAACATGATTTCTCATAATGCGTCACTTCAAGCAAAGTGTTTCTTCAGTTTACCTAGAGGTCGACAATTTCGACCAATTCGATGCGCACCTGTTTTGAGTGTAATCTGAAGTCATCCTGAATAAGAGTCATGTAGATTGCAGAGACCTAACCTGTCACTTAAAATTTCTCGGCAATGCCAGCGTTTTTCTCACTGTGCTTGCCCCATGAACCCTCTCGACCTGGCTGAGCTGCAAGAATCTCTTAGTGTTATCATTCTCATACAGCTCAAGAAGCTCATATTAACTTAGGAATGCTCAAAATGCTATAAATAACCCCGCTGACTCTGAGCTAAATCCTGGTTTTGGTTGTTGTATTTTCTCGGCATTTTAAGCTATCCTGCTAAAACAACTATTCACGAGAATGGTTATATTGTAAGAGATTTCTGTAGCTCAGCCAGGTTGAAGGGAAGATTGCACGCATAGTGTAATGAATACCGACGAGAAATTTTAGAAGTGATATGAGAGATCTTTGCAATCTACACGACGCTTACCCAGAATGAGCGGATTACACTAAAAAAATTATGTAAGCATCGAATTGGTCAAAATTACCGATCACTAGGGAACACCACTCCCATGATTCCTCGAGTGCGGGCCGGGGCGCTTGGGTAATATAGCAAATGGTTTATTCCCAACTCCAGCTTGCCGGTCGTCTCGCATACAAACTAATAGCAAGTTCGTTTCACAGCACTCGTGTCCACGCGTGCCCACTCACAGCGTGGAGCGAGTTCTTTTTGGCCGGCACTTCACGAGTGGTTGCACTCTCCCGAGTTTGTTTCAGCGGCGACACCCCACGCGTACATGCACTCGCTGCACCGAAATGCAATTCTGTCATGCCCCGCTCCGGCGAGGGTTTGTCTGCTACGATGTGTCATTTATGCAGCAAAACCGAAAGGAAAAAAAAGTAGATTTTCTGATAGAAATCGTGTCCTGCAGGCAACGGAATCAAACGCGAGCTTGAATTGTGAGCGTCTGCTGTTTCATAAAGGAAGCAATTGACAACCCGTGCTTTATTTACAAGTTTTTAGTCACCCTGTTGCCGTACAGATGCTGAAATATACCGGTGTGTAAAGAAATGCTCAGAACAAACAAACGCATCAGCGACCCCCGATATCTTTATCACCATCCATATGCGGGTGAAAAATGAAACATTTGTCGACAAAGCTATCTCAGCAGAAACCTGTCCGCCTAATAAGCATCCGAGAAAGCTAAACATAGTGACTTTACCCGAGGCTTGGGCAACATCACGTTTAACATTTACTTAAGTCAGCTATCTTGCCCCGGCGTATTATGTTTGGGAAAGCTCTGATTCTCGACAAGGCTAATATCTGATCCACCTGTACCGACGATCGAGATCGAATGTCCCACCAAATGTTTTGCTGGATATTCCAACAGACTAGTTTTAAGCCGTACCCTTTCAGTGGTTCATGCATAATAGCATGCTAAAACGAACCAAGCTTCTGCGCAGACAGCATGATCAGTTTTCTCCAGTATTAACGGTTATAAGAATTGAAAGATTGCAACCAGCTGCTTTGTAGTTGCTCGCTGATTGCGGAAATTTACGCCGGCTGTTAGCCGAGTTGCTCGAAGTCATTGCATATGTAAACTACAGGTTACAGCCACCAACGTTTACATACAAACGTTGGCAGCGAATGCACTCTCGCATTCCCATTCATCACGTCTAACAGAAAGACGCTAGTTTCGGTTTGAAGTCTTTACTCCCTCTACAACATACAGGGTGATTCAAGGAGAGGCCAGGCTCTTTAAATAGACCAGAAAAATCGGCTTCTTAACCTATCGCACTACGACTTTGTGCAGCGTTGCCCACAGATGGTGCATTTTTTTTTTGTAAAATTTGCAAAAAGCGAATTTACCCGAAGAAAAAGTAAAGAAAGAAAAAGGCTTAGCTCCTATGAAAATGCAGCGACCCCACCAGTCTTCAAACAACACTGCGCCGTTTCGCACGGGAGACAAGAGATGGCGCAACAAACGAGCCTACGGCGACGAGAGCTGGCGTCTTTAGCAGACAATCTTTTTGACTCAAAAGCGGCGCACGTTCCGCAGGCGGCGACAGTCACAGAAACAAAAACAGGCGCGGTAACAACAATGAACTGCAGTTCCTTGTCTGCTAAAGACGCCGGCTCTCGGCGTCTATGCTCGTTCGTCGGCGGCAGTTGGCGTCGCGACCGCTTGCGCCATCTCTTGTCTCCCGTGCAAAACGCCACCGTGTTGTTTGAAGACGGGTGGCAATGCACCATCTGTGGGCAACGCTGCACAAAGTCGTAGCGAGATAGGTTAGGAAACCGAATTGTGCGGTCGATTTAAAGAGCCTGGCCTCTCCTTGAATCACCCTGTAGATGGCGACAGCATCAGTCTTCTGCACTCGGTGCAATTGGCAAGTTTGTTTGAGGTCAGTTCTCCATGCAACACTCCTGCGAGTGCGATGCATTTTGGAAGAGAACTCAAACAGTGCCAATGCGTGTGAAACAAACTCGCTATAAGAACCAGAGGAGCGGGGACGACAGCAGAGATGGTGGCAGAGACTGTCGGCATGTTGGTCCATCATGCACCAACATACGAACACGCCATATTTACCGGAAAACATGAGTCTTAATATAGAAACTGTTGAGCTTGGCTTGGCAATTTTTTAAAAATCATTATTCTGATTTTTCTTGATGCGTATCAACATCTCTACCTGTGGTAGGCTCCTGCTCTGACCGCTTCGGATTCGTAGCCGAATAACTGTAGTTTGGCTCGCTGATCAGCGAGCAGGTGCAAAGGAAGTCCTGGAAAATGTATTCCTGTCTGTTTGGTCATCTGTGAACCATTGCCCCGCCGTCTACAGTGTGTTGGAGTTGCGAATAGAATAGGCACCGAAACAAAAGCAAGGACGAGACAAGTTGAACAAAAGTTGTATGTCAAGGTTGCTGGCACAAAACAAGAGACAAGCTGAACAAAAGGTGTATGCCAAGGTTGCTTGCACCAAACAAATGCGCCACAGAGCTTCACTTTCAGTGTAAATTACAATGTTGCAGCAAGATTGATCTTTACAATTTACAGTGAGACCTCGATAAAAGTGTGGCTCTTCAAAAAGGCCACATAAATTGGAATCTCCATTTATCATGCAATGATGTACTACAAAGACACTGATAAATGGCACATTTCTCATTCAAAGAGATGGTGAACCAAAATTTGGATTTCAGAAAACAATGCAGGAGCTGCAGGCGGGACGCTACAATCCCTACAACACCACTCGTAAGGTGATATATCGAATCAACGGCCATACTTTTGGGGGAAAAAAGGTAGAGATTTAACAAGGCCGACGAGGCGCGTGACGTCAAGATATCTCGTTTCCTCCTCTCTTTGTTTCGCCCCTCAAGGCGGCGAGGAGGATATCTCGTTTCCTCCTCTCTTTGTTTCGCCCCCTCAAGGCGGCGAGGCGGAGAAGGCGCGAGGCCGTTCCCTCTCCTTCTTGGCTCCTCTCGGAGAAACAAGACTTGAACATATATGTCAAATGCGCCTCCCTTTTTTTTTTTTTTGAAAAACACGGTCATCCGTTTTATATATCGCTTATTAGTGATGTTTTGGTGTTTGTAGCATCCCGTTGCACACTTTTGCCACCGTGCTTTGTGGAATCCAGATTTCTGTTCAGCATCCCTTTAAGAGTTTTAAAATATTAGCTCACCTGGGTCAAAAGAAAAATAAGATGACATTTTTTCCTAGGGACAAACGTTCAACTAAGCTTTTTTCTGCGAAATCACATAGAGTTGTGGGCCATATTATAGCAGAATAGATGCAGAAGAAAGGAAATAAGACAAGCTTCTATCTCATCTTTATTTTGCCAAAATAAACGCCAGAGTGGCTCATCATGCCATATAATGGCTGCACTCAAACTAGGTAAAAAAAAAAAGAAAACAGTGGCCCATTGCGATATTTCATTGCCGCACGCACACCAAGTAGTAGTTAAAAAAACATAGCTTTGCTTTAAAATGATTTTTATTTCAGTTTTTTTTTTTATTTATACTTTGTTTCATATTTAGTGTGCAACGCTGTCAAAGCTACTGGCGCGAGCTTGGGGCTTGATCTCGTTGAACATTTGCACGCGTTCTCGCGCAAACAAAACCACTGACGAAGCCACGCGCTCGCGCCAGTAGCTTTGACAGCGTTGCACGCTAAGTATGAAACAGAATAGTGTAGGTGAACTGCTGCGTAATAGTCATTGTTTCAACCCTGAGACAGGGAAAGAAACGGGAAGACAAAGTAAAAGGGAGAGAATAAAGGGGACAGACAAACTCATCCTTCGATATTTAATTTAAAAGATATATATAATACTCTGAGGTCAATTAGAGCTGAATCTATTACGAAACCGGTGTATGCAGTCCTTTCGAATAATCACGCAAGTAGGCCTAGGACCCGCGTGTTGCATCCCGCCGAAAAACAAGCACGACCAACAAAATAAGAAACGTGCACATACTCACGCAG